TTGAACAATCACACCCATACCAAATTTAACCAATGATCAATTGGCCATAGTGAATTAACATTGTTGCCGCATGTGAGTTAATCAATTTAAATACGAATAATAAAATTAGTTTTTTAACCTTTTTTTTACAAGTCATTTATTGAACCAAAGTACCCTTTTTCTCTCCATCTGTGGTCCCCATCTCTCTGTACGATGCCGCCGCCACCAAGATCAATTACCCCTTCTCCATTATCTCTCTCATATCTCTTTTTTCCTTTCTCCATTATCTGCCTGTAAGCAAATCAATATTTATATCAATGACCTTAAATAAGTTATTAAATAATATTTATTTTAATTCTATTTAAGATTTAATGTTGGGAAAAAAGAAAGTAAGTGTTGGTATTTATTGATACTCAATCTATATATACACATAGGTGTATTGTGAGAATAATAATAATTATTATTATTATAATTTAAGTGTTTATATGTGTGTGTGTGTATATACATATATATACGGTCATCCCACGGAGGGAAAAAAGTGTTAAACAGTCACTTTTATCCTGGCGACTGCAAACAGCAGTCACACACACACACACACATATATAATAAAATGTGATAGCAAATGCTGCTAACACTACGATTTCATGACTTGGTACCAAGTTTATCCCTCAAGTTTGATTTTTGCAACCAAGCAAGAAAGATGTGGCATCTTCAAGACTACGTACGTCCATGAATTAAGGCTACCAAACGCATTCTCACATTGAATAAAATAGTCACCTGTCACAATAATTGATGCTACATTTCTTCAACTCAAATTGCGAAGTTCTAGTTTGTTTATACGTAACTTGTATTTCCAATAGTGTTCTGAAAGCGAAAATAAGAAGTCATATTGGGTGTCACAATCACAGTGACATGCATGGTCCAAAACCACCATAGAGGTGCAGTTAAATCATCTTCATTGAAGAAGAAATAACTGAAATTTGGAACTTAACTAATGGTTATAGACCCCTTTTCTTTAAATTTTCTTATGGTAATTATAACAAGGCCAAGTACGCATGCACACAGTCCCATTAAAATGCTCGTCTCAAGATCTTGTGCGTGTGTTTTTATTTTTCTTTTTTAGTCTCACAATAAATGGTGTCCAACAATGGCACTTGTTACTAGGTAATGAAGAAAATTTTAAATTTAAAAATAAAAATAAAAATTGTGCTTTCAAGAATAACACAAAATGGAACCATGGCGGTTTATTTTTATTTTTATTTTTTTTTAACTGTGAGTTTGCCCGACTCTTAATTAACAAGAATTGTTCTCTCTTTATTTCTGTCACTATCCAATTTGTGTCGACGCCATCGACTCTTTCCAAAGCAGACTCTTACACGGTCTTTGTTTTATTGTTCCACTTGCGTGTTTGTTGACTCTTTCCAAAGCAGACTCTTACACGGTCTTTGTTTAATTGTTCCACTTGCGTGTTCGTTGACTTGGCAAATTTACACCAATAATTTCCATTGAAAATTCAACAAAAGTCGGATGCTAAATTGGTCCCATTTCATGCCATCATCGGACTTCATTGCTTCGGTCTAATGCATTGACAAGAGTTCAGAGTATTCGGCTTTAAAATCATTTCTTATATATATATATATATATATATATATATATATAGTACTACATTAAACTAGAGGAAGTACATTATGAGACGAGCAATGAGCCTTCCTAAAATTTCACTGCTGTCTTTGTTGCTAGTACTGGTGATGCTGTTGGCAGCAACTGCAGCAGCAACATCCCTTGCCAAGCCGGGCTGTCCAAGTAGCTGTGGCAACCTCACCATTCCATTCCCGTTCGGCACACGCAAGGGTTGTTACCTCAGAAGAGCTTTCCGTGTAACCTGTAAGGACTCCAACAATCTATTTCTAGGAAACACCACCATACCTGTTATTAACATATCAGAACTCAATGGCGAGTTGCGAATCTCCAGTCAGGTAGCCGTGGTATGTTATAACCAATCGGGTGGATTGATTCGCCGCGTTAGACCATGGGTGAGAGTTCCCATATTCCCCCTCTCACACGCCAAAAACAAGTTCACAGTCATAGGTTGTGACTCCTACGCCTATGTGAGAGGTTCTCTGGGAGTTAAGTACTCCACCGGGTGCATGTCCCTGTGTGATGCTATTGATGATGTGGTCAGTGGTTCATGCTCTGGCATCGGTTGTTGCCAAACAACAATCCCAGAAGGAGTCACGGATTTTAATTTGAGCGCCAGAAGTTTCAATAACCATACAGATATTGTGGACTTCAATCCCTGCAGCTTCGCTTTTGTTGTCGAAAATGGCTTGTATAACTTTTCCAGGGTACATCTTTCCAATTTAAGCAACATTGAGAGGATGCCAATGGTGCTTGATTGGGCCATTCCCAATCAAACTTGTGCGGAAGCCAAAAGGAATATAAGCAACTACTTATGTGGGGAAAATAGCATCTGCAATGACACAAATATTAATGGTAAAGGGTATCGCTGCCATTGTTCTCAAGGTTACCAGGGGAACCCCTACCTTCCAAATGGTTGCCAAGGTATATATATTCACACATATATATATGTAATTCACTCGTAAATGTTATGACCACAAATGAAGAACAAAATCAAGAATTCGACAAAAAAGCAAACACACCACACCAACACCAGGAACACAGTAATGCTCAATTCATATATTTGTTTTGTTTATATCGTTTACAGATATCAACGAGTGCTCAATTCCTGGACTCAATCCGTGCACGGATGTTTGTCAAAACAAAGAGGGGACTTTTACTTGTACTTGCCCAAGAGGGTATCACGGGGATGGCAGAAAAGATGGCCAAGGTTGCATTTCAAATAAATTATGGCTAAAGCTCTCTGCAGGTAAGATGGACTGAATTTTATAAACTTTAATAAAGCTTGTAACCACCTGTGTTGAACGTTTGTGAAACTCTGTTCAACTATTGAGAAACTGATCAATACATGAGTAACATGACCGTTTATTAAATTGCAATACAGTACTAGTTATTAGTTACTCAAATATGAGGCATGATTGCTTTCCTTAATTAGTTGTGGTTTAATTTGCATGTTTAATTGATTGCAGGTTTTGGGGTAACCATTGTGGTGTTAGTTGTGGGAGGTTCTCTGTCATGTTGGTGGATCAAGAGAAGGAGAAACTTCATTAAATATAAAAAAAGATTTTTTCAGCAAAATGGTGGTTTAATGATAAAACAACAGCTCTCAGCGCTGGACAGTTCAGTTGAGAAAGCTAAAATCTTTAGCATAGAAGAGCTCAAGAACGCAACCAATGACTTCCATGAAAGTTCGATCATAGGTCGAGGAGGGTTTGGTACAGTTTACAGAGCAGTTCTACCCCAAAACAAAATAGTTGCTATCAAGAAGTCTACAAAAGTTGATCAAAGTCAAATTGAGCAATTTGTTAATGAGGTGGTTGTGCTGTCCCAAATCAACCATAGAAATGTGGTTAAACTGTTGGGCTGTTGTTTAGAGGATGAAGTCCCCTTGCTTGTTTATGAATTTATCACAAATGGGACTTTATACCACCATCTCCATGAAGTACCCCAAGGATCCTCCATTCCATGGGAAATTCGTCTAAGGATAGCCAAAGAAACCGCAAGTGCGCTTTCTTATTTGCACTCAGCTGCTTCCACACCTATCATTCATAGAGATGTTAAGTCTACTAACATACTCTTAGATGATAACTTTACCACAAAAGTCTCTGACTTTGGAGCTTCAAGGTTAGTTCCATTGGATAAAACACAATTGACAACAATGGTTCAAGGAACATTTGGATATTTAGATCCTGAATATTTTCATACAGGTCATTTGTCAGAAAAAAGTGATGTCTATAGCTTTGGAGTAGTACTTGTGGAGTTACTTACAGGGAAAATGCCGCTTTCTTTTGATCGGCCAGAGAATGACAGAAATTTAGCCACATTTTTCATCTCTTCAATGAAAGAGAATCGCTTATCCTTTATTTTAGACAATCGTATTGTGAATGAGGGTAATGTAGATCAGGTACGTGAAGTTGCTAATCTTGCACAGAATTGCTTACGATTGAAGGGGGAGGAACGACCAACAATGACTGAAGTGGCAATGGAGCTTGAGGGGCTAATGCGAGTGAACAAACACCTTTGGACCAGTGTTGAAGTAAATCAAGAGGAGACCGAGTACCTGCTTGGTGAACCGTTGGATTTCAGCTGCACTAGCACTACAGCTGGTTATGATAGTTTGAGGAACCAAACCATTATACCATTAGAGCTAGATGATGGCCGTTGACTGTCATGTATAATTTCAATATGTATCACATAATCTATTAACCGAGAAGCAGAGCAAAAAGTAGTGTGTAGCGTAGAAAGAACACCATGCCAACTATATTCTTATCATTATCTTTCTTATAAAAGATTTGATCATGCAATGGTATGTTACTGCTAATAATTTCGATCTGTGACTGTTTTAAATGTCCCTCATTCTTGATTTTAGTTTCAGTTTTACCATGATAAAAAAATTCATGAGCTCAACATGTGACATGATTTACTTTGAAAGAGGTTGGGCTTTTTCCCCAAATGTAATCCAAAATGTTTGGGAAAAAACAAAGAAAGAAAGAAAGAAAATGCAAAAATGTTTGGAGCCTGCCAATTCCAGTCATTGGGCCTGCTCGTGTTAGGTTCTCCCTAGTGTTTTAGAGTTTTCTCTTTTCCCATGGATTAGTCCAATTCTGGTCTTCTGGTCTTATCTTTTTTTGTTTGTATAGCTTGTTTTTTATATATTTTTTATTATCTATTTTACTAAAATTTATTAATAATAAAGTGCGTAAAAGAGTAAACCAAGGGTCTATGATCTTTGGGTTTATTTGACACAATATATATATATTTTTTAAAAAAATAATAATAATTCAAACGGTACCTTCTACACAATGGTGGTGTTCTATTGTTTCCAGGAATGAAGTCCGGATTTCATTTCAGGGGTACAATGTGCTTGATTAAAAAAATAAATAAATAATCAAATAACATAACAAATATAGATTATTCAAATCAACAGGCAAATTGAGCATTTGGTGTTAACTGACAAGAGATTTAACAGTAAACTAGAACAAAAGAAGATGAGAGTTTAACGGGAATAACCAAAACAAACAGACAAATAATTTATTAGCTAAAAAGAATTAAACCTGACCCAGTGGCATTGCCTTAAGCATTCCAATTCAATTGTGCGAACTGCAAAAGAACATATAATTCTCAATCAACTTCAAACTATAATAAAAACAATGGACACCCAATATTATAAACCACAAATGGACCATGTAGTATCAACCAGGAACTACAAAATTCCAACAAAGTATACTTTTACATACAAATAAAGCTCCTTTTCAGTAAAACCCAATTGTTAGATATTACCTTAACTATGACAGGAACATCAATGTTATGTTAATCAAGAAGTGCGGCAAAAATCTAACCAAATAATAAAAAAAGTAGAAGAAAATTGCTAAATAAAATCAAATCAATTATTTTAACAAAAAAAAAAAAACAGTAAAATTTAATGGCCAAATCAAAGATTAAAATTTTAGGAAACCTCGGTGGTAGGTAATTTTATTAGATAGTCGTTAGTAAGAGCTTCTACGATACTAAACAAATCGATCTTATTCAATAGACCCTGAATTCATCTAAAATAAGGGTTACTAACATAGTTAATGGGAGTTACAGAAGATGTACCTGTGTATTGGTAGCCGATTAGAAGCATCCGAAGTTGTCGCCATTGTCGTATTTCAGCCGGAGACGTCGAGCACTTTCCGTCAAAGACTCAAGCAAGACACCGGAGAGCGATTGGAGAAACAATGAACAGGCGCTTGGTATCTGAGTTTGAATATAGATTTTATTGGCTAATTGAGGGTGCATCAAAAGATTTACACCTTCAGTAATCTAACGGTTAGAAAAGATTTCAAGGAAAGCACTTTGTATTGCCGCACTTAAATTTATACGTAAATTACACTCACATGCCCTTTCAACAATGACATCCATGTGATGTGATGTGAGAAATTGTAGCCAAACATCCCTAAAAATATGAAACAAGATGATATCACCTTTTAAAATTTAATTGATTTTAGTCATAAAATATCGAACTCTTTAAAAGGACTTTTTTGTCCTTCAATCAATACAGTCACATATGGGCGGTAGATCTCACCTATCCATTCATTTCATCTCTCAGACACACACTCTTCCTAACCCCTTCTCAATGAACTTTCTTAAGGCGTCCAGAGAAGAGTGAAGAGTTGACGACAGAGTCTTAGAGAATAGGCGGTAATGCGGTGAGGGTGGTGTTTTCGGTTATGTGATTTTCTCAGATAGGACTGAGTCAGGAATTTTTTTAGATTAGTCTAATAAAATAACTTGTAATTGTTATTTAATTTTTTCATCAAGACAAAGGATAATAATGTCAATTTGTTATGTGACAAATAAGAATTAAAAGTGTCTTTATTAACTTTATCAATATTTTGTTATGTTTTGTCCTCTGTAATTTCCTTATATATATATATATATAGAGAGAGAGAGAGAGAGAGAGAGAGAGTTAAATAAATAAATCGCCTACAAGAGTCTTCAGGGGTATAGGGTCGTTAATAGAAATTTGGGAGGTAAATTTTTGAGGTCTCGTTTTTGAATTGCATTTCTGACTTGAATGGTACGTACATTATGGAGCCGATACAAGTGCTCTAAAAATAAATAAATAAACCGGCTAAAAGAGACAGCTTCTTCTTCATCATCAGACAAGTCATGAAAATATTATATTAACCAATAAATTGATTAGAGTTTGGGGAGTAAAGCCATATTTGATCAAAGGCATGAAAATATTATATTAACCACTAAATTGATTGGAGTTTGGGGAGTAGAGTCATATTTGATCAAAGAAATAAATTGGCTAATTTTATTGAAGGATCCATATCCCCCACCTAACAAACCTTGATTCCTAGTAGACTTGTTAAAATTCACATCGATTCGAAAATATTATTATTATAAGCTCCTTGAGTTGCTTTATAAACCGAGTCTTTCCCAATATGTAAATGTCTTTTAAGTGCAGGTATGAAAAGTAGTTGTTCAATCACATCGATGGGTAGTTGAGATTCATCAAGTACGTGGTGAGGCAATCACCCTGTTGGTACTTACTGCACAGAAACTAATTACAGTATTTGTTAATTTTGTTTAATCCAAATTGCCAATTGCATAATTGTGTTCTGGTTGATAATTTCAAGTGACGAGGCAATCACTTTCAAGTTTCAAGTGGTGTCACAATCGTTGTAGTTTTTTTTTAATTATTGTTGTTGCAATTTGCAAAGTGTACCAACATGCGCTTATACTAAAATAACTTAATCTAATTTAATTTCGCTGATCATTAATTGATTAATGGGGAAGAAGTTGTTAAGTGTCAACTTCTAAAAACTAATTTTTAGATGAGACAGAGTCGGGATCTTTTACTGTAGTGGCCCCTATAATTGTCCTCTGTAATTTATGAGTGTTATTTTCTCCTTATGAATAAATGAGTGTGAGTTTTTGGTAAATTTAAAAATAAATAAATAAATAAATTGGAGTGAAAAGAAAATGACAGAAGAAGACATGCAAAAAAATATTGAGCATTTCACACACAGATCACCAGGACCATTTCTCATTCTCATATATATATATATATATATATATATATTAAATGGTCGTTATTTCTCCTTTCATTTTCAAAACTCTGTAAGATAAAAAAAGTCAGAGCTCTCAAATCATAATGCAACTCTTATCTACATAGGAGCTTGTAATTGTCCTGTACCATCAAGTACCATATAGTTTTTTTTTTTATTTTTTTATCACAGTGCATTGAATTGGTCTTCCACTGAACAACTCTATAAGATGACCAACATTGGAAGTGTTCAGCAGAACATATCATCTGATCTGAAAAATAAAGCCCCATGGACCAACATTTCTCATTCTCATATATATATATATATATATATATATATATTAAATGGTCGTTATTTCTCCTTTCATTTTCAAAAGTCTGTAAGATAAAAAAAGTCAGAGCTCTCAAATCATAATGCAACTCTTATCTACATAGGAGCTTGTAATTGTCCTGTACCATCAAGTACCATATAGTTTTTTTTTTTTTTTTTTTTTTTTTTTTTTTATCACAGTGCATTGAATTGGTCTTCCACTGAACAACTCTATAAGATGACCAACATTGGAAGTGTTCAGCAGAACATATCATCTGATCTGAAAAATAAAGCCCCATGGACTTGAGAAAAATGCTTTTGAAACTCACCCTGGTGGGAGTCGTTTTAGCAGGCATGGCAGCACCAACAAGCGCTCAAGCCAAGCAGGGTTGCCAAGACAGCTGTGGCAACGTTAGTATCCCATATCCATTCGGCACAGAGCCAGGCTGTTACTATAGTCATGAATTTCTCATAACTTGTAACAACATTTCCAATCCTCCCAAGCCTTTCCTAACAAATAGTAGTATTGATGTCACCAACATTTCACTCCATGGTCAGCTGCAAATCTTGCAATATATAGCCTATGACTGCTACACGCAGTCGGGTAGACAGATCTCACATAACGTACCCTGGCTCAGTTTGTCCAAATTCAGTATTTCCAGTACCAAAAACAAGTTCATAGCAATTGGTTGCGACACTTACGCGACCATTCAAGCTTACCAAGGTGAGAGGAAATATGCGAGTGGGTGCATGTCCATTTGTGACAGCTTGGACTATGTTACCAACTGGTCTTGTTCTGGAATTGGTTGTTGTCAAACATTGATTCCAAAAGGAGTAAGATATTATGAAGTGACATTGGATAGCTTTTCCAATCATACAAGTGTGTGGAATTTCAGCCCTTGTAGTTATGCCTTTGTTGTTGAAGAGGATAAGTTCAACTTCTCCTCGGACTATCTTAGTGATTTAAAGAATGTAGAAAAGCTTCCAGTGGTTCTCGATTGGTCAATCGGAAATGAGACGTGTGAAGTTGCTAGAAACTCCTCTGGATACGCATGTAAAGATAATAGCAACTGTTATGAAGTTGATTATGGTTCTGGGTACCGTTGCAATTGCTCGGAGGGTTACTATGGAAACCCATACCTTCCTAATGGTTGCCAAGGTATGTTGTATACTTGTATCTATAACAGTCATTGTTGGGTATATATATATATATATACATATACATATATGTTCATTCCTTTTCATTATATTACCTATAGTAATTTCTGTGATGATTCACTTTTCTTCTGTTGTCCTGCAGATATCAATGAATGTCATGATCAAACACTCAATGATTGTGAAAAAATTTGTGACAATACAGCCGGGAATTACACGTGTTCTTGTCCCAAGGGGTATCATGGAGATGGCAGAAAAAATGGAAGTGGCTGCACTGCTGATCAACTACTGGTAATTAAGATTGTTCTGGGTAAGTATCTGAGCTTAATGCCCTAAATATAAAATATAAAAACGTTTCAAAATCTAACTAGTAAAATTTGTAGTCTTATTTTACTTGTTCCCATTAACTGAAATTCTAATGTCAGAGCAAATCGAATGAAAAAAACGTGTACCTTAATCGTTTAAAATAAAAACAATAGGGACAATCAAGGTTGTGATCGTGTGAAGGTAATAAAATCGTTTATTCTGGCTATTTTGCACGGTGACCACCGTCTGAAAGACATGGGAGGACAACTTGGGAGTTAATATACAATAACTTCTCCAAATTATTTTGTGGAGAGTTTTTTTGATGCTGACAAATTGTGTCCATTGGAAAGTCATGTGCTGACAAGTCATCATAAGCTAACACTCACGAGTTTCAAAATATATTTATGTAGCAATTGGAGTTAAGAGGAAAACAAATTAACTGTTTTTCATCACTACATTTCAAATTTTGCAAAAAAAATTCAGTCCTACGTTCGTATTAAGGGAAGTTATCTATGCAATGGTCAAGAGTAAAATTTAAAAAATGATCAAGAGTAGCTAAGATTCAAGCATATATGCCTAGATTGTTTTTCTGAGTCAAATTGTAGAACAGTGTTCCAACTTTACTTCCAAAATTAACAGTACAAAGGAATTTATCTTAGTCATAATGTTTCTTCACCAAAGCGAGAGATTTGTGTGCTTAATCCACTATTTGTTAGGATTAGTGTGACATACATTTTTCTTCTGATTTGCAGTTCTCTGAAATGTTCCAAGTTCTGGACAATCAATGACTTAACCAAATAGAAGTCTGATAATTCTTTACAATAATGAATTTTCAATATTTTAAATGCAGGTCTCTCAATAAGTGTTGCTGTTCTACTTGTGGGTTTCACTTGGTTGTACTTGGGACTCAAGAAAAGAAAGCTCATTAGGCTCAAAGAGAAGTTCTTTCAGCAAAATGGTGGTTTAATGTTGCAACAGCAACTCTCTAGACGGGAAGGATCCACCGAAACAGCAACAATTTTCACAGCCGAAGAGCTTAAAAAGGCCACTGACAACTACAGTGATGACAGGATTGTAGGACGAGGAGGTTATGGTACAGTTTTCAAAGGAACTTTAACAGATAACAGAGTAGTAGCCATCAAAAAGTCCAAATTAGTAGATCAAACCCAAATAGAACAATTCATCAATGAGGTGATTGTACTCTCCCAAATCAATCACAGAAATGTGGTCAAGCTTTTGGGTTGTTGTTTAGAGACAGAAGTCCCTTTATTAGTTTATGAGTTCATCACAAACGGAACTCTCCATGACCACATACATAATGAAAGTAAGACGTCTTCACTTTCCTGCCAAACTCGTCTAAGGATAGCAGCTGAAACTGCCGGAGTGCTGTCTTATTTGCATTCTGCGGCTTCGATTCCTATCATCCATAGAGATGTCAAGCCTACAAACATACTCTTAGATGACAATTACACTGCAAAAGTGTCTGATTTTGGAGCATCAAGGTTAGTTCCCCTTGATCAAATGCAGTTATCCACATTGGTGCAAGGAACTCTTGGATACTTGGACCCTGAGTATTTGCAAACAAGTCAATTGACTGAGAAAAGCGAT